ATCCTAAGCCCAAAAACAACATAATATATATTTATACTATTAAGAAGTGTAAGAAAAAGCCTTTTATTTTGACAATTGGCAAAAATATATTATATTATAAATTCTGACAACAATAAGTGTTAGAGAAAATGGCTTGCTGAGAAGCAAGTGGTGGGTGATTTTAATTAAGCAGCCTACACTGCCCAAAAAAGTTGCATTGGTAGAATTGATTTAAATATTTAAGGTCACATGTGATAAAACATGTACTAGTAACAATAAAGTGTTAAACTAATTAAGGATATGTGTAGAAAATTAAGTCAGCAAAAAAAAAACTTCATGAAATAATCTGGGAATTGGGAATAAACCAGTTGGACTGTCAAACTGAGTAAATTTGTTGAGTGAGTTAGCCAGTTGGTTAGTGGAATTTCTTCATGTAGTGTATCTGAGCCAGACCAAGAAACTATGTAAATTAAGTTACAATCCTCATTAGCTGCACTAGCTAGTTTTATAATCAACACAAAAGTTTAAAAACACTGATTACAATGGATTGAGTTTTGTGTCAAAGTTTACAATATTTATTTATAATTTCATAAAATTTTTCCATAACCAGGCATTCAGTGAATTAACTGTTACTTTTATAATGTTAAGAAATGAACATTCAAAATGAAAATCAAGAATTTCAGCTTTATAAACTTATCTTTAAATAAAGAAATAAACCTATGGTTTTAAGTTGTGACTATACAAAGCCTTTTCTGCATCGTTCCTTCTACCACCCTAGTTTCAGATGCAGTAATGTTGTTAGTTGGATGTTACAACTCTGAAATTTACAACTATCTAAGCAAAAATTGTAGTGAAAAGCCAAACATCGAACACTTTGAAATGATAGATTCAGTGAAAGATGAATAGATGCTAAGAAAAAAGAAACCCTGTTTAATTTTAAAAATTGCACCATACTGTAATGCACTTTGATCCTTTCTGTCATTGATTACTTTAAACATGTACAATTATGTGTGATTGTTTCTATTCTGGATGTTGCACTAGTTGTTCGTATTTTGAAGGTACTTGTGTCAAGTCATACTAATTATTATTTTTTGTGTGTTTTTGTTATGCCACTGTGTTGTACAACTTTTAACTAACCTTGACAGTTGTTAGGTGTTGCTCCTGTGCTTGCTGCCACTATTATGCCATTTCATTTTTTTATAATTTTGATATCTTATTATTTGTTGTTTTATTCTGGAAATCTATCTTATCCTATTATTCAGCCATAGCCACACTTTTTTTTCATCTGCTACTGACTCATGCCATAACTTACCCCACCTTTTATTTTTGACACAATCTTACAACACTGGTTTTCTTGTTTATTTAGAGAATCGTGTTTCTCATGATTGGGTGGACACTAATTGTTGATCAGCCTGATGATTTGCAGTCATACTGCGTCTAGAAATTGGGCAGTGATTGGATACTTGAGAGTCAGAATGGGCAGCGATTGGATACTTGAGAGTCAGAATGATCAGCAATTGGATACTTGAGAGTCAGAATTGGCAGTGATTGAATACTTGAGGGTCAGAATCTTGCTTGTATGTTCTGCTCTTTCTGAGCTTTATCTCTGTCTTTCTGAAACTGTTATTTACAAGCTTGTTGATCATGTGTTTGCTGATTTCTTTTTTTCTGCTTTTTTATTTACTAGGTTCCACTTCTGCTCAATATCTGTATGTTCTAAATTCACTTTTTGGAAATTTAAGATATATCCATAATTATTCATCATGTTACTTTGATAACAGCTTCACTTAGAGAGTTCTTTTTTTTTTCAATTAAAAGTGTTTGGAATAAAGAGGAGGTGAGTCCAACTATCTGGACATTGTCCTTACCTGGGGTCCAGTTTTTCATTATTTATTTCAACCCTGTGGTGTTTATTTTCAGGTCTTTTATGCTTGGGTAAGTTTATTTCACTTTCCCAGTGCCTCTCTTAATGATGAGACTTCTTCTTTACATGTGTCTTTTGTGAATAAGTTGATTGAAGCCTATTTTGGTGTAACTGGTTGGTTATTTGGATCTTCACAAATATGATATTAATATGCTAATAACTTTTAAAGCCAAAAAAATGTCATTTATATGAGTAAGATAATGCTAAACTTTAAATCCACGAGAAAATCTTTATAAACAGATGTTGATGTTGAATCTTTAGTTTCAACATAAGTAACTCCATTAATTAAATCCATTTTAAAGTTTCCTTCTATTACTTATGTATCTTTACAGAGTAAATCTAGTATACGTTTCATGGTTTCATAGAGTTGTAAAAAGTGCTTCAAAGTCAAAGCAAGTAAATTAACATTTTTATGAAATATTCATTGTTTAGATTATTAAGTCAAAAACTCAGAACTTTGTTTTAAAGCAAATTAATTTACAGTTAATTCTTTAAAATTTGCAAAATTAAAAAAAAAACTGACAAGAACTTGTTTAAGTACCGTTGATTTCACTCAGTCCTTAGTAAACTGGTCTAATGCAACATAGCCATATTAGATTTACACTTGATTGTCAAAAACTTCTGTTCATTTTTTAGAGAAGGAACTAGGTAATATATTGTCTCACAAGTCTGCATTTTATGGATATTAGAAAACTTTTAAATCCCACAATTTGTGTTTCTTGTCACTTAAAACTGCATGGTAAGCCATCAGTCTGTTACCTGGATGTACCAGGCTATGCAAGGGTAAAGCTAAATGAGGAAGCTGACAAGTTCACGAGAGAAACCCTTTTGTCAAATCCAGCAAGACTCTACTGGCAGGATATCAACCTCGTCTGCACTAGTAAGGTGAAAGTGGCAACCATGGAAGGTCATCATTGACATTCAGAGTGAATGAGACTATTGGAAAACAAAGTGCCATATGGTAGAGCTGGGAAATTAATCTATATAATTCATTACTTTTGAGCATTGAGTAGTAAAACAATCACTTGGTTGAAATTACAATTACATTGTTTAATATCATAAAATATTTAAGTAATTAAAATTAATATTTCTAGTTATTACTGTTTTCAATTATTACAGCTATTCATATCTCATGTTAGAATAATTGATTAGTTGAATGTAATCAATTAATGAGCTTGATGATTAATCAATTAGCAAAATCCAATAATTACACAGTGCTACCATATAGTATAGCTAGGAAAAGCAAAAGAAGTGGAATCAGTATATAGCCAGAAGACCACTTGTAGTAACAGTAAAGGAACTATTCCTATTACGTGGTTATTTTAAACAAATATTAGATTACTACAACTGAGTATTACATCATGGTTTGACATAAAAGTGATGAGTTGAGCACCAGGGGTTGAACTGACTGGATACCTCACAGGAAGTATTTTATCAGATTAAAACTTTACTATATTACTATTATCTGTACTTTTAAGATTATTTAAAATGATTCTTTTGTTGTTTGCTAATATTATAGGATTATATATTAAAATTATTTAGACAAATTGTTACTTGCTTAATCTAGCTTATTAATAAAAATAGGAATTCTATTCTTTGATAGATTGTTTAGGCAGAGTATTCCTGATGAGTAATCTGGAATGGACAGCAACTGCCTGTTGTAAGGACACAAGATGGAAGACTTTCGAAACGTTGTCCTCTACACTTGTGTTTTTACAACAGGCAATGGCCATCCATTCCAGTTTACTCATCAGGAATTCTGTGTTGTTATATTAACCTGACACTTTGACAAATTCTTGTTGTTACTAGTTTCTATGATATTCCAGAAAGTTGTTTGAACTCATCTAGTTGAGTTCAGGAAGATTTATTCAATATGTTTTCATAAATTAAAAAAAAAAAATCTTAATAAATGGTTAACCAAACTTCATACTTGTGTATTTAGACAAAGTAATATTTCCTGCTCTTCTGGAAGATTATCTATACTTCACTTGTTGGATGTTATATGTATTTTCCATCTAAATAAATAAATTTCTAATATCATTCCCAAGCTGACTGAGTACTTGTGTAATAGGAAGGTTGAAAAAAAAAGAAAATCAATGACAGTTATGTACAGTAGTGCCTTTTATAGAAACTTGTTAATTGAGTATGTTGAGATGTACTTAACTATTTGGCTTCTGGGATAGTATTCCAAAAAAAGAGTTAGTGAAAAACTAAATATTAACTTCTTTGCCAAGATTATTGTTTCAGATTTTTCATACCTGAATCATGTTTGTCATTGAAAAATTTATTTCAATCATGTTTTGGGTTCAGTAAGATATAACTCTGTTAAAATTTACAAGATTAAAAATACCTATTTTGTATCAAAATTATATATATATGTTTATAAATGGTGTCTAAAAACAATATTTTGTGATAATCGTCTGTATTTTACTACCATTATAAAATATGCTCTTTTTTGCTACGCTATGTGTATATATTACTGCCAGTTCTTCAGCTATATATCACTGTCAATTCTTTGTACTAGATGCAGATCATAAAAGTAGGCAAAAGAATAAAATTATTTAAGTGATAACAACAGAGAACAAACACTATTCTAGATAAAAGCTAACAGCAATATAAGAAAAATATGTTTTGTCACTACTTTATTAAACTTTATTTTAAGCATATTCATGTATAGCACAATATATTGTGATTTTCTAAAATATTTTAATGTTGTTAATATTTGACAGTTTGGTAATATGTTCTTGTGCAACCTAATAAAATAGGCAAACTTTGTTATGTTGATTTCTAGTTTCTGGCTGAGATGACAAGAAATCAAGAATGCGAAAGATACTTAATAACTAATTTTTATAGTCTAAGGGGCATGTCAGTTGTCAAACAGTTCACCATTAAAAAAAATATGGTGTTTTCAAGATTGTTCTTATTTTAGCTTGTAGCTTATTTGTTGAATTGAGCTTTCTGATAAATATAAAAGTATTTTTATTGGACAAGTTTTACATCAATTTTCCTTTAAAACAGCAGTTGACACTTTCAAATTGGCAAGTCAGGTTATGCATTGGTAGAAATATTAAGTTTTTAAAACATTGTTTTCTTTCAGCTTGTTTCCCAAGGACAGCTTCAACAAGTGCAACTAGGAACTCCTATTCAAGTGCTTCAGCTAGCTCAGAATCCAACTCAAAACACAGCTACTTCAACCACTTGGACCACTACTGCACTAACTCCAGTTGTGACATCTGTTTCTGTGATATCTGCAGAAATGTCTGGTACCAGCCAAAGTCAGACTGTTACTGTTCCATCTGCTTCAAGTAATACGTCTGTTGTGTCTGGTGGTCAGTCAGTGAGTGTTCAAAATCTGCAGCTACCCTCTGGACAAGTTGTCCAGGGTCATCAGATGGGTCAGATTATAGCCCAAGGAGGGGCTTCCAACTGGTGGCCATCATCCGCAATTAATGTCTCAAATGTAATTGGATTAAGACCATCAAATGTCATTCAGGTAAGTTCAATGGTTTTCATAACCCATTGTAGTTATACAAAGTAGTAAATTGAAAATAGACAAAGTTAGGAGAATATTTTATGCAAGTAGGTAGGTTCTTTTTATGTGTAGGTGTGTGGATTTAAAACAAAAACTTAGTAGGGTTTATGGGTAATTGAGTAATTTGTTTTCTAGCAACTATAGTTGTACCCTTTTTTTTTTAAAGTGAATCTTATTAACAGTATTAGTTATTATATTTATTATAATTATAATTTTTTTATTATGAAGATTGTCTCGCATTGTTAACTGAGCATATGGATTTAGGACTATCCTAAATATACTAAGCTGGCAGAGCCAAATGTAACTTTTCTGACACTGTGGTAGTTCTTACTTGGATGTAGACCTAAACAAGTGAAACTTTTACCACAGTGCAGTATTTCTCACTTGGATAAACAGTGTTGGGTAGTTAGAATATTTAATATATTTACTTTTGTTTATTAGTTTTCATTATTTCAAATTTTATTTTTATGTTTATTATTTTATTATAATAATTATTCTACATTGTTAGCTTAGTGTATGGATTTTGGACTAGCTTATGTCTTCTAGGCTGGCCCGAACTCCATGGGTAAGCTTTTTCAAGTAGAGTAAATTTCACAGTTAAGTAAGAAAAATGAAAACACTAGCAGAGATTGACTAGGTAAACTATACTCCTTGTGGTAAAAAACACTGTTCATATCTAGAAGTGTATGCAAAAGTTATTAAGAGAACTAAAAGAACAAAAACTTTGTTTTATTTTATTTTTCAACTAAAGTTTATAGCTAATGAAGGTTATCTGTTTGGGACTTGAGTTCTAGTGGCATCATCCTTAGAGCACTATTTTGAGTGAAGGTTGCCTGGTTCAAGTCTTGATCAGAGAGATATCATAACATTTTGATTTTTTGTACTGGCATAAGACTACCTAGGCTTAAAATTATAATATAAAATGTAACCAATTTGTTACAGAAGTCCCAGTTGAACCTGGAAAGCTCTTTGAAACCTCTATAACTTGCATAGTCATGAAATATAAAAAAGGTATTTGATGTTGATGTGCACTGCAATAAAGTATTGGTCATGGTGCTAGAATATCCTTCAATCACTGGTTTTATTACAAATGTATGTTTATCATTAAGTAGTTTCTGTGTCAGTTTATAGTAGATTTTTCATACTAGTTTCTTGATGACTTTTACTCAATCGAGTGGAATCTTCTATTTCATAAGAAGTGTTGAAAATTAAGCCTCTTACAACTAACTGTTTTTTTAGTGCATTTTAATTATTAAAAAATAAATCTAGGTGCGCCTAATGTGATTCTCGGTGGGCAAGATATCCTGAACTAAATGAATAATCTTGTTTGTTTGTGTATCAAGGTTCAGGGAATTCAGGGTATTCCAACAATGGCTGGGCTACAAAATATTCAGATTCAAGGTCAACAAGGTCAATACCTAAGCATCTCTCCAAATGGAAGTGTCATTGCTACACCAAGCATCCAGACTGGAAGTCAGAATCAAGTAACTGAGCCAGTTAGTCCAATACATACAATACAGACCATTGGGGGAACACAAGTCATTGGTAATATTTTAATGTACTGTGGTTAAACAATAAATGAATGACTGATTTTGAAAATTTTAAGTATGTTATGATACATTGGTGTGGCTGTATTCTTAACATTTGCTATATGATCGCATATTGTGATAAAAAAAAAAAATACATCACTGTAATGAATAAATAATATTGCCAAGACACAAATTTAAGATTTTAGACAAAACAGTCTTTAACATGAGTTAAAAGTTTTGTAGTATATTATAATAAAAAAAATTTGAAACATTCTAATTTGCTATGATAGGATAACTCATTATATATATAAGAGATTATGAGTGGCCAGATGATCTGAGGCTGAATTTAGCTTTTTACACACACAACTTGTCAAAAAAAAACTTGATCTGGATATAAATAAGCATTTAGAAGTTGCATAATATATTATAATATACAACATTTTAAACATTCTAATTTGCTATGATAAGCCTGGTAGAATATTTTAACTATATTTAATCATAGTTAGGTATATATTCTGTTCGTAACAGTTTAACTGCATTAGTGGTAGTATCTTTGTTGTATGTCTGTTAGGATATTTATGCCTAGTCTAGTCAACATCAGATTTGAATTATTTCAGAATTGTAAAAATATTCAATAAGGTTATAAATTGTTATTCTAAGGATTTTTGAGAAAGAGATATATAAGAAATTATTCTAAACATCACAGGAAATTTGTTTTTGTTTAGCTCAACACCTTCAACCTGATCCTAGTGAACCAATCAAGTGGCATGTAGTAGAAGCAGTACCTATCACCACCACATCTCATCCCCAGCCGTCCATCACACAAGCTCAACAAATATCCACCTCATCATCCGTTACCTCAACTGATGGTAGCAACACAGATTATCCAAGGAGAATTCGTCGTGTAGCCTGTACTTGCCCTAACTGTCGAGATGGAGAGGGAAGGTTAGTCTCAGACTAATATATGTTGTATGTACCATCACTTTGTTGACCAACTGTATGGGTTTTAAGTACTCTTCGATGTTGACATTAAGGACCTAGGTCTGTGTGCCATTGACATACCAGGCCAATTTGTATTTCTAAAAAAAATCAGTTTCATAGATCATATGGATTATGCATTCATGTTTCCATCATTTCATAACGTCCTGAGACTCCTCAACAGGAGTCATTCAGTACTGTAATGGCAACTGGAGGCACTCTGACGGTCAGTGATATTACCACCATTTTGCATCACTTGGTTGATTCCATACTGATTTCGGTTCCAGTATTACTGACCTTCTGCTTCTTTTACTTCAGGTGCATTTACCCCATCTTTAAACTAGTTTCACTATTGCTTCTAGTTCTCTTTTTGTGATGAGGATCAGGTAATCTCACTTGCAACTTTCACTGCTTGGATTACATTACATGGTTTTCTCATTTTCTAGCTGTTTTTTTCCTGAATCTCAAGGCCATCTTGTTGCATGAGCCTCCATCACTATAGTGTCTTGTTTCCACTTGGGGATTTCTAGTTTTTCCCCTTTTTTATTTTACATTTCTGTCTCACTTTCATCTGCTTGTCTTTCTTACATACTCAACTTCTTTACTTTTTGTCCATGCTTCACCTTTTTGAGGCTTTATGACTATGTTGCTTTTACTGGGGGAATATACAAATACCTGTTTTTCACCTTGCCATTGATTTTCTTCTTCCATTGTGTCCCAGTTAACTTGGTTTCTTTGTTTCTGGGGTTTGCTTATTCAGGATGCCTTACTTTTGGATGCTTGCTCTCTTCAGTCTTATCTTGGGGATCCCCATTTGACACTTTTTCTTCAAGACAAGGTCTTTGGATGTGTTTCTTACACTTTGAAAACTTGACCTGAGGCTGTCTATCAACAATCTTCTCTGATTACTTTGGTTTTCAGATTTTCTCTATCTTGAGGGTCCCAACATGTATATCCTCCTCAGGAGTCTTACTGGATTGCCCCCTCTCCTGTTGCTCCTTTTTGATGTGGTCCCCTCTTGGAGGGTTGGCTGTCATGAATCACAAAGTTGATTTGCTTTTGTAGCTATCTCTCAGTTCCAGTATGGTGGGAGCTACACACCTTGTTCTGTTGTCTTTCCACCCCACATTAGCACCTAAAGGAGACTTTTCTTTTTCATGGGTTATGAACAACATGGAATAGGCCCTCAGCCCCTCCTGGATTTTTACTCCTGTCTTTTTGTTGTTCCCAAGAAAATAGGATTTGCACCCTGTCATAGATCTTTTATTCTTGAATCAGTTTCTTTGCATCCTTCAGTTTAAGATGAACAGTTTTCTCAGTCTGAGGTAGATGTTTTCTCTAGGGCTGTGGATGATACTGGTTTGTCCATTACCGTGTCACTTTCTTCAATCTGACCATGATGAAAAGATTTTTGACTTTTGAGCCCATTCCTTTGGGTTAGCTATAGCCACTTAAATTTTCAGTTGGATCATGAGTGCATTTATTGGGTTGTCCATTACCACTACGAAAGGGATAATTGGCTCCTTCATGCTCCATCCAAAGAAGCCTCCTATACTAGGTGGTGTCTTGTTTAGGTTGGCTAGTACAATTCTCCAAGTCTGTTTTGAGCCCCACTCAGTATCTGATTCCCTTGAGAATCCTTTTGCAACTCATTTGCAGGGAGCTGACACAGCCATTTTCTTTCATCTTTGAGACACTGAGCTACTGGCTGCCAAAGCTCTCATATCTCTTTCTCTTCTTGCATGAGATATTTTATAGCTTTTTGGGACTCTGGCTTCACTCGAATCTCTTGTTCCTTGTGGACATGCCTGTATATATTCTCTTCTGTGGAACCTGGCAGACTAATGAAACATGTTCAAAAATTCCCTATTGTCTTTTTTATTTTCTTGGTCCATCTCTTCATCTCTTACAGGGCATCTCTTTTCCTCCACCTTGCACGAACCTGCCTGTTCACCAGTGCCTAGAGATGCACCAATTATCTCAATTCATGTCTCATAAACTAACAGATTGATCAAAATTATGATGGATTAATGCCATGAAAATAATCAGCAAATTGAAATTAGTGTTTCTGATTATTGCTGTTTTGATTGATTATGATTACATCAATTGTCTTAGATGATCAACTAATCAAAATTATGATTACATCAATTGTCTTGAAGATGATCAACTAATCAAAATTATGATTACATCACTTGTCTTGAAGATGATCATCTAATCAAAATTATGATTACATCAATTGTCTTGAAGATGATCATCTAATCAAAATTATGATTACATCAATTGTCTTGAAGGTGATCAACTAATCAAAATTAGTTATGCTGATTATTAATGTTTTGGATTATACCAACAGTTGAGTAAATTGATTGTTGTAAAAAGGTCATCTAATCAAAATTAGGGTTTCAAATTATTTACTGTTTTGGATTATTCCATTATCCAAGTAATTGAAATATTACCATTATGTTTTTTGTTGTTAAGCACAAAGCTACATAATGGGGAGTGCCTTATGATATGAGGGTCTTGGATTCAATTCTCATTGATACTAAGGTTATCGGCTATTGTCATTATCTTTGAACTGCTGACTAGCACCCACAGTCAATGTTTAGGCTACTTAAATGATAAATAGGGTGTAATTTTTTTTTCTATTGTGTTATGTTTCTAATTTATAATTGTGTATCTGTATTCTTTAATGCTGTATAAAGAAGTGTGTATATAAGGGAGGGGTTCCTGACTCCCCATTAGGGCTGAAACGAATATTATAAGTAGTGCTTCGAAGCTTCTTGCAAGATAACTACCGAAGCTTCTTACAATTGAGTATACTTGTTATATTATAACAATGTATGTATTTAATTTGTTACAGTTTGATTGTACATGAGTTTGACCTTCAGGCGTTTGACCTGTGAAAGTTTAATATGACTGGACAGCAGTTGTGTAGTCTGAGCAAGAAAGATTTTCTAGAGTTTGATTACAGGCCTTCTGAAATCTGGAAGCTTTTATTTAGTAGCATTACATAGTATTGTCAGTCACAAACCAACACACATGCACTCTCACACTATAAATAATATAAATACTATTGTAATGACAGTTTGCTTAAATTTTTGTTCAAAAAAATTAATGCGTCAACATTTTTTGATTTTAAAGAACTTCGTAATTTAGTGACTGTTAAGCCTGTCATAGAGAAAACTCTTTCTGAAGATGTGGTTGTAGCTGGTATGCACAGTAATCGTTTAGCCACAAATGAAACAACTTTGAAGCGACCAGCATTTAACTTCCACCATACAAGTGGATTATCTCGTCTATGTGGAGAAGGTTAGACCAGATACTTTTCCAATTCTGAGCTGAGAGAGGGTTCTGCTACCACTGCCTCCTCACCTAGGAGTTTGTCCAATGCAGTCAATCTCTTTGATCGTTTTACAACGGATGGAGAAGGTTCGTGTGAAGCAGGTTCATGTTCTTCATACTCTTTATACATCTCCATCAGCTCACTGATGCCTTTCTTTAAGGCTTGTTGTTCAGTTTCTGTGTATATACCCAAAGTAAGATTTTTAAATCGAGGGTCAATAATAGCTGTCAACAGCATTGGGTGTGCAGCATGCAAAGATTTGAGTTCAAATCTCTCAGAGATCTCTGATGACACAATATCTTTGAATTGCTTGATTATGCCAGAATCCGACACGTCTGGCTCTAGCTGGTCAAGAATACCATGTAATATTGGACACATTTTCTTCATAACTCCGAAAGGTCGTTGCAGTACTAAAGTTTTCCAAAACTTCCACTAATTCTTTGGCTAGTTTCCACTGTTCAGATTTTAAATCCAAGTATCTATCACTGGGTTTTGTTACTTGACTATCCGGCAGAACAGCAGTTACAGGCCACCGGAGTTTTAACAGATGATCTAACATTTCATATGTTGAGTTCCATCGAGTGATACAACTGTTGATTAATTTTTTACCAGACATGTTCATGTCGATTTGTTTCTGTTTTAAAGCTTGTGATGCCACTACACTGTGGTAAAAGTGTGTAACAATCTTCTTCCCAGCAGCCAGCAGCCTGTAAATGGAATTGATTTTAAACCCTGCTAGTATACAGAGTTGAAGGCAGTGAGCAGTACACTGTAAGTTTTGCCAATTTAGTTCTTCGTGCAAAATTTCCATGGCAGCCTTCATGTTGGACCCCTGGTCATGGCTAACCATTCTAACAGTATCCATAATCTCCCATTCTTCCACCACTTTCTTCAGCTTTTCTGCAATGTTTATCCCCATGTGTCGTTCTGGGAAAGGTAAGGTTTCCAGTACAAAGGCCTGTAGCACCCAGTTGTTATCAATGTAATGCGCTGTTACGGTGACGTAACTTTCTGTCGCGATGCTCGTCCATATATCCGTGGTTAACGATATAAACACTGCTTCTTCACTTAGCCTTTCTTTCAGACGTTGTTTGCACATTGCATGTTTAAGGTTGATATCAGCGGTAAATTGTTTTCTGCTTGGTAAGACATATCCCGGCTCCAGGTACTTCATTAAGTTATGAAAACCATTGCATTCAACAGTTCGAATGGGGCATAGGTCTTGAACGATTATTTGAGTCACTCTGTCTGTTATATTCTTTGCACGTTTATCATTGCACTTCGCAGGCCTTACAAATCCATCAAGGGTAGGTGTCTTCCTGCTCTCCGTTGTGGTTGTCTCGATGTCCGGACAGTAAAGAGTCGAGTGCTTCGACGCGAGGTAATTCCATAGGTTTGTTGTCCCGCCTAAATAGGCAAATTCTTTTTTACAAATAGTGCACATGGCTTTGCTACGGTCGTGAAGTTTCTTATAAAAACTCCATACGTCCGAAACCTTTTTACAACTACTTCCAACTTGTAGGATAATAGAGTTATTTTTCTATAAAGTTTGGTCTAACAGTGAGACATGATCATGTACATTTAAGGTACATGCACATTCAGATTGCAAATACATCTACCCAAATAATTGGATTTATGATACTAACTCCCTCTGGATTTAAAGTTAATTAACTTAATACAAATATAATGAAGCTCCTGATATTTTATTAATGTTAAGTTTTAATATTTTGATTCTTAGTGCTTGTTTTGTTTGTTTTTCTCTATATTCAGTACTTTAATATTTTAAAATTTTATTTTGTATTGGTTTTCAATCATATGTTCATTTATGTTTGACTCTTCATTTTTCACATTCCTTGCATCTGGTCCTTATTTTTGTACCTGTTTCTCCTATGTAGAAACTTTCACAGTCTAAGAATTCTATTTTTTACAGTGTGGCATTTTTCATTATCATAAAACTTCAGAAGAAAACTTTTTATGTTAGTTCCTGGTTTAATTAAGATTGTAGTTTTTTACATTTAATTTGTGTTTTTTGTGTAATTTATACCATACTGTATTTAATTTTTCACAGGTGTTATTAGTGAAAAATGAATTAGATTTTGGTATAATGTTGACCAATTCAAAATACTATATTATTATAATGGAAGTCTCTTTTTTGCATGTGAAAGATACTGAAAATTTGGTTACAGTGTTATGCAACTAATGTTTGTAAATTCAAAAGTACAATAACAACTTTTACATTCAGTAAGTTCCTATTCTAATAATTACAATGTCTTGACCTGTAGTATTGGGTCATTATCAGGTAAGAGTTACATTAAAAAAATACTATGTTTTTACTTTGGCTAAGTACTTGCTTGCCAAGCAGATAAAATGATTTATTATTATTAATTTCCTTGGTTGGTTACAAATGTTTACGTAATGGTGTAGTTATAGATACAGCTCTTGTCATAAACACACTATCTGTTTGTTCCTAAGCTGAGCAAATTACCACAGACTTTGCAGGTTCAATGGGTTTTGATTTAAGTGATTACCTGAAAAATGCAATATTTAAAATGTATTATACCTTAGAATAGTGTTCTTTCTCATTACCTTAAAATATCTATCCCTTAGAAACAGTGAAACAAAGAAGAAACAGCACATTTGTCATATGCCTGGCTGTAATAAAGTGTATGGGAAGACATCTCATCTTCGAGCACATCTTCGATGGCATACAGGAGAAAGACCATTTGTATGCAACTGGTTGTTCTGTGGGAAATGTTTCACACGTTCTGATGAACTGCAGCGTCATAAACGCACACATACAGGTGATTAAGGTTTTTTAATGTTTTTTTTGTTGTTGTTGTAATTTTTGTATTTGAAATATTGTAGCATTTTAGAATTTAATTACAAAATGAAAGTCTGTTTTCACTCAGTATTCTTAATGGTTTGGAAAGTTTATGAATGCAGTCGCATACTTCATGTTTTGAAGGATGATATTTTGGATTATATCCAGTTTATTGTGTTTTAAAACACATTTTGTGATGAAGATTACTTGCCCATTAATTGTTTCATTGCCTGTTGTCTCCATTTAGAAGTGGGTCAGGACAAGAATAATGTTTACCCCTCAACATTGTATCATAAGTGGTATGGTGGGTCAAAATGACCCATGTGTAATAAACTTTACAAATATTATGTTTGTTTATATTATGATAGGGTCAAATTGACTCGCAAACAACAAACAAATGATTACAGTTGTAAGACATAGAACTGCAACAGCACATCTGCTCTTCTCAACATTCAAGGACTGATTGAGGATATAGTACAGAAAATATCAGGTAGAGAGCAGCACTAGCTGAGTTGGAATATTGACTTGAAAAATTGATGTGGGTCATTCTGACACCACCCTTCCAGTTGAGGGTTAATCCTGTTATGACAGTTAATAGCAGCATTTCTGTTATGATTGCACATTTGCGTACAAGTTTTCAAAATATTAGTAAAAATAGTGATTGAAACTCTATTTCAACAATTCATTTACTGAAAAATATTTTAGATTTAATGTCTTGTAATTTTGTAACCTTTTTTTTTTGTGTGTAATTATCAAATAAAAACTAAAAAAGTTTAAAATTTTTATTCCTTCACAGCTCCAGGAGCTATTATCTGTAAACAATGCAATTGTTGATTTTTTTTGCAATTTTTTTGCCCATAACAGAGCTTAAGTTTATATTTACTCCATACCTGTCCTTCATTGGAAATATACTTATTCATATTTTTTTCTGTCAGTGAATTTATTTTTCCAACCCTTTGAGGCCAGGCAATTTATGGTGTCACAGCAAGTGGGTTGGACATTAACTAATAAATCTTATCTATGTCAGTGTAAAGTAAATAGAGCAGAGCAAGCAGTATATTATAGTTTCTGAGAAAATGGATAGTGGAAGTTCCTATGAGGAAGAAGAAAGGATTCTAATACAAAATTTACAGTATTTATGAACAAGCTGGGAATTTTTTAATAATTTATCTGAATATTATTTTTGTTTGTGTTAAAATTATTTGTGTGATAGCATGTCTGTTTGAAAGCTACAATAATATTCTCTGATAAAATATCAGATAAGGATATTTATAGTTACTGAGTATAGTAAGTTAGGACTAAGAGTTCTGAGATGGCAAACTATGCAAATGACACAAAATCTTATTTTTATGGTATACATTAGTAAATTTATTATAACTAAAACAACTCATACAAGTACAAAGGCACCTTAGTTAATGAAACAAATTATGATGATGAGAGGGAAATTTAGCTTCATCAGAAATATAATTAAAAAATATAGGTATATGATACTGAAGTTGGATATGAGTGTAAATGAAGGTTTTAGGCTAGTAATACTATTTTTCCTGACATTACCTTAATATTTTCTATGTAATTTTAGTTCTTCTTTCATATAGAAAACATATTGTGGTAAAAATAAAGAAAACTGATTTTAATTTATTAAAAATGTACAGAAGAATCTTATTAATTTTGAAAAATTATCAAACATAATATGAGTGATAAGAATATATAGCATATCCAAGGGATATATGGTTTCACATAATACAAACTGTTATACAAAGTAAATACTGCATAATAGAGGAATTGATGCAAGAATACATCATTTAAAAAAAGCTGATAAGAATAAGTTCTTATACAATGTGCATATTGCATATCAAAATGAACTAATTCAAGACCACATGGTTTCAAGGAAAGGATTGTTATGCAAAATACATATTGCACATCAAATGAATGTACTAAAACTATTATTATCCAAAGTAAACATGAAAGTAAAAAAAAATGCTCATGACTAAAAAGAAAACCACACTATAAATATTAAAAAAAATATGAAACTGTGTTTTATACTGGTGAAGAAGTCTTAGATGAAGTATGAAATAATAAACAAAAAAGTTTTGAAGTACAGATTGTTTTCTAACCTTTTCTAAGAAAAACAAACAAAATCTGATGACTGATTTATTTTTATGTAATGAGCTGGACCAATGCAAAATTTGTAAACCAGTTATCATAAAAAAAGTTGACTTCTTTTGAAGGTACTCTGCAAAATGCATCATGTAGGATACACATCACAAATATTACATTTTGTGTTTACTCTGTTTCAAGTGTAGCACAGTCCGTACCTCATCTTCTCAGTTGTAGATGTTGGGTAGTGCCTTCTGAGTGTGAGTTTAAGTGTACCCCGTGTTGTCAGTAGTAGATGTTGGGTAGTGCCTTCTGAGTGTGAGTCTAAGTGTACCTCATGTTGTCAGTAGTAGATGTTGGGTAGTGCTTTCTGAGTGTGAGTCTAAGTGTACCTAATGTTGTTAGTAGTAGGTGGTGGGTAGTGTCTTCTAAGTGTGAGTCTAAGTGTACCTAATGTTGTTAGTAGTAGGTGGTGGGTAGTGTCTTCTAAGTGTGAGTCTAAGTGTACCTAATGTTGTTAGTAGTAGGTGGTGGGTAGTGTCTTCTGAGTGTGAGTCTAAGTGCACTGCATGTTGTCAGTTGTAGATGTTGGGTAGTGCTTTCTAAGTGTGAGTCTAAGTGCACCTCGTGATGTCAGTTGTAGATGTTAGGGCACCCCACCCACACACACACTTGTCAAAAACTAGCTGTTGTTTTTCTTATCAAGTCTCCTTGTCTTCTTATCACTTCCGTCATGATGGCATTATACAATATACAAACAGCCCATCCCACTGCAGTCATCCTTCAACATGTAATCAATTTAACTTCACCTCTTTTTTAAAATATTTGATAGTTGTCATGGAAAAGAATGTTTTTTTTCTTCTATAAGTACCACAGGCATAAGTCTCTAGTGAAGATAACTTGTCAAAGATGTGTGGAAAGTGTTAAAGTTGTCTCTGTGAAGAAAGAATATCCCACTTCATTGTATTTCTCCATTAGTCCCAATACAATTCTGTCACCTAAAACTTTAGATGGCATATTTCCCTCTTTACTTGTGTAACATCTAAATTTCAGAAAGTATTCACTTACTGCTTCTGTCAAGACTCACAGCTTTATCTCACACTTGACAGGTTTATACCCAACATCAGTTCATTAATAGAGAGTTCCTTAGAAAGATTAAAAATGTTTGATAAGTGAATCTAGAGCATGTCTAAGTTTAAAAAGTTGTTGATCAGTCATATGAAGAGCACTAGCATCATTATTGAAGTGTTAGATCTATCTGTCTATGATTAACATTTCTTTCCTAAAAAATTCCTGAATACCAAGCAGTGTGTAAAGGTGGTAGAGGAGACTAGTATTCTTTGATTTCTGGTTTAGGAGATGAAACTATGGCAATAATGATATCTAAGTATTCAAAAATCACTGTATCTGATTTCTGTAAATGTCTCTTTCTGTCGTGAACAGGTGTGCTTGTTTCATTTACAATTAGACTGACTAACTGAAATTAAAAGAAAAACTTAAAAAAGTCTAAAGCATTTTTTCTTTCACTGGCTGGCTGGGTTGTTGCTTTCCATGTTCAAAAGGTAGATGATCCATTGGGATTTCATGGTCCAGGTGGTGTTGCAGGTCAGAAGCACTTAATGTGATACTATTCCACATCTTTTGCCTATGGCCAAACTTCTCCTTGTTGATATTATCGAAGTGAGATGCTCAGCAAATTCTAGATCCTCAGGAGAAACCTGATCCTGATGAGGCAAATTCTCATCCATGAAAAAAAAAGGTACCTGTAGACTGGGTTTTCTTCTTTTGCTTCCAATTCAAATAATGTATGCAGTTTGCAGGTGCACTAAAGCTGAGAAATGTTTGGTTCCTGCTTGAGAATTACTTGACAATTGCAACTTTTCATCAGAAAAAGAAGCATCCAAAAGAAATTGAGCTTCTTCTTTATTTATAAGTTCCTTTTTCTTCCATAGCTCAAATTTTGAGAATGTAAGTAGAAAAGTATTTTGTATATGACAAATATAATCATACAACTTGCAGATGTGGTATTTCCAACAAGGTATCTTATTTCTGCTTATATACATAGCTATTCTCATTCAGTGATGCCCTCTATTTGCAAAAATATTTTTGCATGGCACAAGCTTTTCACTTTTACACACTTTTCAATTCACATGATTTAAGTGATTCTCGCATGCAAATGATCATATGACAAACCTCCACCAATAGTAGTGGCACCCATCCACATGACTCATGTGATTCCCTCTGTACTATTCTACCTAACTGTCATTTTTCGTTAATGGTTAATATGGTATTGGTTAATATGCCTCTGAGAGGGTCATATGTGACTAATAGCAAAAAAATATTTAAATGTGAATGTACTGTTTTGAAAATATTTATGAAATGACAAAGAAAAAGTGTATAAAAAGCAAATACTACACGTATTTCAACTCCCTGTTATTGCACAGAAATGAACTGCAATAGAGTACAGTCACATATTGATAGCTTGTGCTGTGGTTGGTTGTAATTCAACCAATAAGCAAGTGCCACATCAGTATAAAGCTTATTGAATTATAGCCAATCATACTATGTGCAATAGTAGTTAGGTTATTCCAGTAATGGATCCTAGTACAAGCACATGTACTCCATGCAACAAATTGCAGCTAGATTCCATGTTTCTGTAGGAGCTGTATGTACTGAAGCTGCCACTGTTATGAATAGAAATGACAGAGGGGAAAAAACACAACTTTCAAAAAAGTGATGTTAAATATATTAGGGTATGTTGTTTATAAGGTAAATGATGGTCAAATACAGATCTTGGGGGAAAATATTGCTGTGACTGTTACCTCTAGAAAATTTAGAAACACATTGACATGAAATGGTGAAAAGGTGACCAAACAACTTAGCTGAATTTTGGGGAGCAGTACAAAATATTTGGAACAATATTCCACAATTGTTCATTGATAAACTATAAAGTAGAGGGCTCACATCTAAAATACTAGTGCATTGTGCATTTTATTTACTTTTGTATTTCTATTTTCTGTGATAATGTTTTGTACAGCAATAAATTCACCATCTAGTTTCCATTACTCGCTTGTGATTCTTGTATGAGTATCAATTGTATGTATCCTTAATTATTTCCATTATTGTATATGTTTGTTTATTTTTGTACTTTAAAATGTAGTCTGATTAATTTGAAAAATAAGTATCAAACTGTGGGCTGATTTCTAATTGTTGTTAAAAATAAGTTTTGTTTTTAACAAGCCGATAAAAAAATTAAAAGTCAAAATTTGAATGATGGAGAGGGGTGATTTAGACTTGGTGTTTTTAATTTTGCTTGTTACACTTTGAAATAGGGTATTGAATGGAGTTGTTTTTTCTTTGGAAAGGGATTTTGATATTTATTTCCATAAAAACCTTTGCTTTAGTGCTGTGATAATTTATCCAACAGCAGGTGAGCTGGTGAAACTCACTAATTTACATTTAACCTGATGTTTTTAAGTTTTATAAGTAATGTGCACTTCTGAAACTTTCATGTCAAACTGATTAAGATTAAGAGAAACATGTTATAATTTCCAAAGATTATCTATGATTGTACACTTTGTAAAAAATAATGAGGTACAGCATACAGTAATGTTAATTATTTTACTGCAAGACTAAAATTTAATAGTTTCAACATTGAAATACTTGCAAATGTGTTGTTATTGAAAACAGTTTGAGATTTTATAGTTTTTCACTAATTGGATTTAATTTATTTTGCTACATTTCATACATATTGGATGGATGTTACTTATAGAAGTTTTTGGCAGAGATAACAAATTTTATGGAGCACATTTTACATGTGGTGTTAGTGTCATTTACATTGTGATTAGGGTCAGCGACTGATAGAAATGGCCTGAGATATTTGTTGTATATTGCCTACTTTTTTTTCCTTTTCCTTTGGCTGTTTGGACTTTTATACATTTTGCTTTTATTGAGTTTTATCTTGTGCTTCATTAATTACTGTTACATTAAAAATGTGTTATGCAACTTGATTATTCTGTTTAAGTGCAGCTTGAAACAATGTTGTTGTTTTTTTTGCAGGAGAAAAAAGGTTCCAGTGTGCTGAGTGTCTGAAACGCTTCATGAGAAGTGATCATTTATCCAAACATTTGAAAACTCATCAAAGCAAGAAACTCAACCCTTCTTCGGAAGGGATTGGGGAGGAGGCCATCTCTGAGAACTGTGATTTAGTAATGACAGAAGTTGTAGAAACTGACCAAGATCCTGAACTTTCAGTCAGTGAACCAACCTTAGATGGAAACCAGTGAATCAGTAGTAGGTGATTATGTGAATAACATATATTTGAGTTTGAATGATGGATTTGTATTGTACATAGTATTGTTTCTGATTTAGAAACAGTTGTTGCATTTTTATTTTCTATTTACACGTACTTGTTCATGTAACTGTTATTTTGAAGATTGATTTGAAGTGTGGAAAAAAAGATCAAAACATGTTTTTAACAGGATATAAAGTACATGATGATAACACATTCATTAGGTGATAATAAACAAAATGAATGTTACTTTTTGAAGAGTAGAAGTTAAAATGTCCTGAACACACTGAACTGTATTCCACTGTTTGTGACTTAAAATACACCATATTAACATTTTATAAATTAATATACAGGACTTACCAATTATTATGTTGCATTTGCTTTTATAATTTTGTGTTGAAGAAGCACATGTATAGTTATAGTAATATAGGCATGTTTGAAACATTAGTACCGTAATTACTTCTCGAAGTCATTGCTAACAGTTACTCTTTCTTTTTGCTTGAAATCTTTATTGATTTTTATAGTGTGAACTTGCTCTTTTAATGTTTTTTTTTTGGCTTAATTTCATTATTGATGTTAAACAGATTAATTGGTCATTAATGAATGCTACTTTTGTCAGACTAAGATGACATGGTTGTTTATTGCTTCAGTTTTTAGAAAACATTTTTTCCTTCATTTTATTTTTCTACTATACTTTCAGAAGGCATTTATTTCTTGATTTCTCAATCATAATGACCAAGAAATCTTAATGTTAATGAATATTGTTGCAAAATATTAGGTTTCATTGTATTCAATCGGACTAAATAGAATATCTAATACTTTCAACTTTGTTCGTGGACATACTCAATGACACCTTCAAATAAAAAATATTTTTTTCTGTACAAGTAAATAATAGTATGAAGAAGCAATGAGAAATTTATTGACTTTTTTCCTTTGTTCTATTGTATATAAATTTTCATCATTGTTTAGTGTCTACTCCACTATGAATTTAAACATTGATTTTAGTCCTGTGTTGTTTTTGACAAGGAAATAATAAACTTTACTTTAAAATTATTGTTTTTATTATCTTAGTACATTATTATCCCAATAAAAAGTTTTAGCAACAGTGTTAATGTATATCCTATAGAGCTCAACAAAGACTTATTGCTGATGCAGAAACTGAGGAAATATTCATCTTACAAATTTGTATAACTTACCAATCCTAATGATAATTAGTTCCAAATTCTTTAATACAACTTTAAGTGGTAGATTATATTTTGAAAATGTAATTGTAGTTGAAAATAACCTTTAATGGTTGATGATTATTCTAGTAAGCATGTTTCTTTCAAGAAAGAAGTTATTGGGATTTTAAATCCTGAATTTCTCAAAAATATTATTTTTCCCTTTGGCCTTCTGCATAATTGTGTTCATCTTATTACTGAGTTCAAATTTATTTTGACACCTATATTATTCAAGGCTATATATAATAAGATTTGTTTAAACACATTTTAATCCCAAGTATATATGCTCCTTGATCAATGATTAAAAACTATTGCTAAAAGAAAATTAACTTTGAAATATAATTTACTAGTAATAGCTCAAAAATGAGATACAAGTTGTTTTATATTAATATCTCTAATCCTGATCTGAAGGTGTGCTATGGAAATGAAGAACATAAATTAATTTATTAGACTGAGCTTTATTGTAATAGTTATTTTTCTTCATTTGATGGATTAGGAAATAACTAAAATATTTGATAAATGTTATATAGTAAAAATAACATTTTAATTTTATTCCTCCCTTCTTGTATCTACTTAAGTATCTGTTAACACTGGCCATTGTGTGAAGTTTTTGGTCCATAAGCTGGCTGAAATATCAAATATTAATTAGTGATTTAAAGTTACTTATGTTTTGTAGCATAGATCTAATCTAAATTAATTTCGTTTTTTGTTAATCATGTGAAATGGTAACTTTTAATAATTTGTGTGATACTTGGAGAAATAGATTGAATATTTTAACAATGTTCCTTGGCTATCCTAAAGCAAACCAAAACAGCTGAAAAATAGGCAAACACCTTTTTCTTAAACTTTTATTACTGATTTCTTTAAAGTTGAATAAAATTTCTTGTTTGGTAGGTAAGATTACTGAATGGTACGACCTGTGATGAAAAGTTTAGTCTCATTAGTACTTACTTTAATTTCTATTTTGTTGTAAATATCCTTGGACTTGAGAACTTTTGTTAAGATCTAACAATCATATAATCATGTAGAAATGCAACTTATAGTAAGTGGGTACTGTAGTTGTGTGTTACAGTGGAAAACTTGTTTGAAGTAGAAATATAGCTCATGTTATATACACATTAGAATGAGAGAACTTTTGGGGAAAAAACATCGGTTGTTTTCTGTGACTGGAATATCTAATGTGCTGACATCCTACAAAGTAATAATATTGTACTGAGGATGATAGAAAAAGAGATACATCTACTAGATTGTAGTGTTATAGTATAGTCCAAATTTTTAGTGTGAGCATACTTTATTTATGGAATACAGTACCTGTAGCAATGTAAAATGTCAGAAATATTTTTATAAAGTTTATATTGTCACATTCTATAGAAACATTTTATAAGTTAGTACTTGAGAAAACATTATTATAGTAGCTAACCATATTTGTGTTAGGTAGACCATGATAGTAGAAGAAAACTCTATGTCTGTTAAGTGTTAACAGCATGAGAGTTTTCATTATTAAGTGGCAAAAATAAATTATTTTTTGAAATAATTAGTTCAATCATTTTTAATATATATTTGAGCAAATGAAAACAGCTTTACATGGAAATGATAGAAATTCAGTTGTTTGTAGAGAAAGATTAAATAAAATATTAAGTTGTGTCCACTTTTTGTGTATTTATTTATAATCTTGCTTAACCAAGATTTTGTGGAGCTTGTATAAAGGCATATCCAGGGAATGATTTTTTTATAACATTTTTGTTTTTTATATGTTAATGTATTTCTCTAAAAACGTATAGGTAAAAAAAATATATATATATATTGAGCATGTGTTAAGCAGAGCCATACCTTTTAACATCTTTTTTGAATTTTGTCTGAGGTAAATATATATATATATATATATACACACTTGAAGATTAGTATGTTGAGCTGCTAGGGACTTTGGGAATTTATTTAAGATATCAGAGGACTGAGTTGACCAATTTGGAATCTTGACATTAGTTTCGATGCACAATTAATATGAAGTGTTAGTTACAGTAAATTATAAGGGAAGTGGATAGGATTGATTTTTGACTTCAACATCAGTCGTGTTTTTGAGATATCCAGTTTCAGTATACCCATGTTTGTACAGAAACGTTGTGAACAAAATTAAGTTTTGAAACATTTTCTGGTAACGTAATAAAAACAAGTTTACTGTTAATAAGTAAGTGAAAAAATATGATTTTGGAAGTTTTAACTGAATGTTTTTTTTATGTAACTTTTGTTCACATTTTAGAGTAGATATTTTCCACAACCTAAACATTTATATATTTTTTAATCAAACAGTCATATGTGTTTTAGGGTATTTTTAAATGTTTTTTATTTGCTGAAGTTATGTTAGTTTGGTGCACTTAGACAATGTATATATTATCCTATTCTTTTTGACAGAGTAGAAAAAGGAAAATGTATGGGTTATTAAATTTTGAGAAAACTAACAGAAAAAAAGTCCCCTTATAAACAATGTCATTGGTATCATTGTCTATATTAAGATGCCACTAAATCTGTTGGTTCTTCTTGGGAAACCTTTAGAGAAGCAAAAATAGTAGAAGTTGCCAGTGGTTGGTGTTTTTGTTGCATAGTGTTTGTGTAGGATATCCCAAATATTACTGAAACTTTTATTGAAAGAATTTTTATGAATACTTTTGAAATGAAAATTATTTTAAGCAAAATTCAGTGGTTTTAGAGATCAGATAAATACTAAGGTACTTATACTTGATATAACTTCAATAATGTTATTATTTCTAAACAAATTTTATACACATTTCTGTGTACTTTGTTTAAAATCAGCATTATCAGACTATTAAAATGACCTTTTAGGCATATGTTTTATTCAGATACACCAAGAAACTTTATACATAATAACATTGGCATTTTTGTTACTCTAAAAATGATAAAACTTAGGAAGTTAGAGATTAACTGAAGGAAGTGTGCATGTTTTCTTGGAAACCTACTATCTTTCAAGTAATACCAAGAAATGGTTTGGCTATGAGGTTTACTGATTAAGATGTTTTTGTGTTTTAATGTTTTCTATGCTACTAGTCCACTTACTTATAAAGTGCTTCATTGAAAGCAGACTAAAAGTAGAACAATTCTGAGATAGAATATGATTTAGTTATGATGCATTTGTTTTGTGTAAATCATTTGATAAGCATTCTTTGCATGGGAAAAATAAGCACATACAAAAAATGTGTAATACATTTTTCTTAAATGTTTTTATTGAAGGTGGAACAGCATACAGAATGGATTTTTCCTCAATGTGATGAAATAAACAAAGTTGATCAAGTACATTAGCATACAGTTTGTTCTCAAAATATGATATGCATTTAAACAAAAATAATGGTGTAAAATCTCAGTGCAGTGTGATGGTTCAGGATAACTGAAGTTGTATTTTGAAACTTGTTTTCAGTTGTGGAAATAAAGCATATTCTTTCCAGTTACTAGTTGATTTCCTTCAAGGATTTAATCACATACATACAGAAGCAATGTGGCTTTCTTTAGTGGGGTTTGTGAAATTAAACACTAATAACAAACTTATGGATTGTTCATATTTCTTATTCTGATGAGATGTATCAAAAAGGGTTAAGGATTATAGCTTTTGTACTAAATATTGCAGTTACATTGCCAGATTTTGATTTTGTAGAACATAAATAAGGTGGAATAAACTTGCAAGGTTACTGGTCACTAGTTAGACCACATTTGGAATATTGTGTTCAGTCTTGGGCTCCTTACCTTAGGAATGACATTGAGTTTTTGGAAATAGTTCAAAGAAGGGTTACTAGAATGGTGCCTGGGTTGTCATACAGGAGAGGTTGAAATCTCTCAAATTGTTTCTCTTGAAAAAAGAAGAGTTAAGGGAGATCTGATTGCGGTGTTTAAGATTGTAAAGGGAATTGATAGTGTTGATGCATCATATTTTTTCATACCTAACAGTGAGAATAGTAGGACTAGGGACACAAGTATCAATTTTGGCAGGGTAGGAGTCATCTTCAGCTAAGACAGTTTTATTTTTCTAATAGGATGGTTGGCTTTTGGAATGGGTTGTCCTTGGATGTTGTGGAGGCAGTAAATTTAAGAGAGTTCAGGAGAAATCTTGATAAGTATATGAATGAAAAGGGCTGGCTTTAAGTTTATTTATTTTTTAATTAATTTATTAATAGTTTCAGTTTAGTTTAGAGGATGGAGGTGGACCAATAGGTCCCATGTTGTCCCAAAACATTATATTATGTTAAAATGTATCAGAAGTAGATCAATAAAATGGAAATTGTATTGTTATTATTAGCCACTTATGGTTCACAATTTCTTGGTTGATGCATGAACTCCAAGGGAATATCTGTTTCTCAAGTTTACGTATGTATTTTTGTAAGTTTATTAAATTCTGGATTTGCTAATATATCTACATTTTGGTTGAATTCAAACAATACAAGATACTGTTATTAGCTGTGGATAATGCTAATCCTGCCCTAATGCGGTGACTTGTGATAAGAACTGGTATATGTGACCAGTAAACTACAAAAGTTGTTAATTATATTTTCATAAGGTCTGGCATGCTGGGCATAGCATAAATGGACACTTTAATTTGAATATATGTGCAAACAATGTTAGCAATGTCGAAAATCAATACTGATTTACACATACAAAGAAGCTGGTCATCAGTATTACAGTTTAACCATATTGTTTGTTTTATTGATCAAGAAAATTCTATTATTTTTTTCAAACTGAATACAGCTGTGTCCAGTCTCTAACTGGTGTATTTAAGTGTTTTACACTCACAAAAAAGAAACCTATCATTCTATAGGTATTTGAAGAACTTGA